GTCTCCCCGAGGGACGTAAGGCCATCAGTGCGAAGTGGATTTTCTCGCACAAGACCAATGAGAAGGGGCTGATTGTCGACTTCAAAGCACGTATGGTTGCGCGTGGTTTTTATCAGATTCCCGGTGTGGATTTTCACCACTCATCATCCGCATGCCCTTCCGCGGTGTCCATCAAAACTATGGTGGCCGTATCCACCGAGAATGGTAGGAGGCCTGTCCACTGGGACATCAAGCAGGCGTACACACACGCCAAGCTGAAGGAAGAAATCTACCTGAGGCTTCCAGACGGTTGTGGTGTTTGGACTGGCAAGGCGGTGAAAGTCGAGCGTGCTCTGTATGGACTCAAGCAGAGTGGGCGCGAGTGGGGGTTTGAGGCTGCCGATGCCCTGATCTCAAACGGCTACGAGCAGTGCAGGGTGGACCCCTGCATTTTCCGCAAGGTGGTTGACGGAGAAGTCGTAGGTCTCATCGTGATCTACGTGGATGACATCATGTTGTCCGCGACCGAGGAGGAGCGTGAAGAGTTGCTAGCGTCTCTCCAGAAGAGATTCCCTGTGAAGGATCTAGGAGATTGTACCTGGTACGATGGGTGTGCCATTGAGGTGGACCTTGAGAATGGTACCACCAATCTGTCCCAGACGGCTTATATCGAGAGCATGCTCAACCGCTTCAATGTCACGACCACTGCTCCCACGCCCGCTGTCGTCGACGATGACCTAGGGCCGAAGAGAGACGACGAGTCCTCGGTGGACAAGCCCGTGAGGGAAGCGATCGGATGCCTGATGTGGTTGCTGTTCACGAGGCCGGACATCGCGCTGCCTTTGAACAAGCTGCAGAAGATCGCCCACTCACCCACCGAGAGGATGTGGAACGCGCTTGTGCGGATCATGTCCTACCTCAACGAGACGAAGGACCTCGGGATCACCTACGTCCGCGGATCAGGGCTAGACCTAGACGTGTTCGTCGATTCTAGTTACGCCGACAGCACCGTTGACAGGCGTTCGACGACGGGGCTAGCCGTGACTGTAGGTGGGACCGTAGTGTGCGCATCCACGAAGACACAGCCAGTGACGGCTCAGTCGACCACGGAGGCAAAGTATGTTGCAGCCGGGGAGGGCGTGAAGGAAGCGTTGTTCGTGCGTGGTGTTCTGTCGTTCATTGCGCCCGAGACGAGCGGTGCCACGATCAGGG